TGCAGTGCTTTCAGTTTTTGACACCCGCTTGTCACGGAAAAGAAAGTCAAGTCAAATGGTATTTACATTTTTTCAAAGAGCAATTCAGATTTTTGTATTCCCTATGATCTTTATCAAACACCAAATATCGGGATTCCAGTTCGGGATTCTTTCGCCACCAAGTCGTAGTCCTATATAATAGCTGCAGCTCTGGGCATGAGACCAAAAGCGTGAATCTTACTTGATTCAATGTTTACTTTGCAGTGTGATGGAAAAGAGAATAGCACCTCTCTTTAAAAAATGTGAATGTTTGCGTCAGTCTAACAGACACATTAACAGGCGCTCATTCAAATGATGTTCATCGTATCGGTTTTCCACACCAAACATTCATCTTAATGTGAACAGAAGGAATCTTGTTTCAGAGACGGTTCAAGTTATTACGTTTTGATGGTAGTAAGACCATAAACATCTATTCAGTAAGTAAAAAAGGTACATTTTGATTTCATGTTGACTTTAAGCTATTTTTCTAATAATCCCCTTGTCATTTATTACATTACACTTTTTGGTTGCCTCTTATACTATACATTAATTTATAGCTAGAGTGGATAAAAAATCTACGTGCTTCAAGACTGACAACATGGCCAGCCAAGACACTTCCAATCTATGTTTTTACACATTTCTAACAACTATTTTCCTGAGGAGCGCATTGTCTTCCTCATTTTATATGCCAGAATTCATTTCCTGAGAGAGTGCTAGCCATCTGCTGCTTTCCAGATTCAGACGGCCATCCTTTACGGGTCAGGCAAGCCTGAAGAAAACACTGCTCTCCGGACAGCAGGCCTGCCAAAACAGCAGGAGTTAGTGCAGGCACAAAGCAGTAGCCAGTAGCCACGTCTGGTGTCCGACTCATATCCCAGGACCTCACTTTATCAAACCCGGTGAATTATCAGTAATTGGCCCAACTGTGACATTCCCGACTGCAAAGGGCACATAAATCACCTTGCAGTATAATAGCTGAGACAGAGTCCCGCACAAATGACCTCACAGAGCGGCTATCCGCTGATGTCGGACTGATGCACTGTCTGTCTTTCTAGACCCTTTCTTTTTCATGCACACAATTACTGGTGACACAGACCGTTCTGTTCGGATAAAAATAGTCTTAGATATTATATCTTGATCTTGATCTCAGTCTGGTCTGGGCTTTTATTTTCGAATGGATGGACTAAAGTGGACAGAAAATGTTCAGAATCAATTTTGCCTAAAGGAAAGATTATATTACTGCTGTTTTATCCCATATTTAGTATATAACCATGCTATAGTTGGAAATTGTATTGAAAGCTTTTGAACTAGTGAATACTTTGATGGCTCTCTTGATATTGTCAATATTCGCTGAAATACTTCCCAAATAAATTTGATCCAATTCTAGCGTTTCAAAGAGGAACACTTCATGTTTCATTTAGCAAAGTACTTGTAAGAATTTGGTCTTTCTGAATAAAAAAAAGAGTACTTCAGACCAAAATCAATATGACTTAAGTATTCCAAGATCTTGAAAATAAAGAAATCCAAACTATCACCTCCTGTACAGTGTAGTTCAGAAATATTGCTTTTACATTGCAGAGGAAAAGCAATTAGTTTGACAGGAATATGTCATGCAATGCTAATCATAGAGAACCATGTTTGAATCCCATATAATTACACTGACATTTTCAATAAACTATGATACGGAGGCATATTTAATTGCATTTATGTTTGTGATTTTACTGATTTGATTAACTTGGCTTGTACTGTACACCAAGATTAGCATAACACGAGGGATTTGTGCAGAAAGTCTCCCTGTGCCCCATAGAGAAGGCAACGTTTTGGGAGTGACATCTGTATTTAAATGCAGGAGTGAATTCCTAAATTTTCTGGTGTCAGCAACACCAAGGTCATGGGTTCGATTCCCAGAGAATGCTCAAACTGATATGCAGTGTTTATCGCTTTGGATAAAAGCGTCTGCCAAATGCATACATGTAAATGTAAAATTGTAACCAAAGCAGAGTTTTGATTTTTTTTTTTACCAGAAAACGGAGATGTAGCATCGTCTGGCACAGTTCCAAAGAACCATAATGTATGTTTCCACATGATTAAAGGGCTAGTTAAAAAAAAAAAAAAAAAACTAGATTGGAAAGAGTCTGAGTAGGCACTACATTTGGCGAAATGTAGTACTTACTTATACTATGAATATGTTGGCCTTGTCATGTGACCTACAGCATCAGTTGTCCTCTCCACTGGTTTCATGAGATTGGTAAAGTGTTAATCGATTGCACACTCCAGAATCTCAGCGGAAATAGTAGGTCATCCGCGTACTTTTCGCCTACTGTCTTCCAAATTCTGATATACTACTCTGTTGTAGTACTGTTTTTTGCATACTATATGGAAGTCAGATGCAGCAGTAGTCTAAAAATGTGCCAATACTTTTGTCAAAACATTTTCTCTCTCTCTCTTCTAATCTTTTATACATCTTCCTTGTATCTAAATTTGGTTTCGACAGCTGGCCCACTGACCCACTGGCAAAAGAGCTCCTTAAGGTCCATCCATCCCTGAAATGAAGTAAGCCAGCGCAGCACTGCGGTCAGTAGTCATTCTCAGGTTTCACTACTCCAAAATCCTAATATTCCCTGATTTAAATCTCTCCTTCTGAATAACTCTAGTACAGTTCTGTTTTCAAAACACAAGCATTCCATCCTTATCTAAGATCTTGGTTGGAGTTTCTTAATGGACTATGAGTCTGTACTGTACAAATGTCGATTAAGTATTGATTTTTTAGTTTACTAGATTAGTAGTTCCATACTGTACATTAGTGACACCTTCATATGTCTTGGATTACACAAACACTCACACAGAGAGCTGTTCTTATCTTTGAACATCTGGTATTTAAATACAATAGCAGGAAAGTACTGTATAACAATCTTCAGTTAACCGTCCGCACCCAAAACAAAGGCACACACAAGGTTATTTTCTCAGTGATCAAATTATAGCTACAATTTACTATCCCTGCTCTACACTTTCCCTGTATAACCTCAAGCATAGCAGTCTTATTGGTTGAGATGTTGAATAATGTGAGGCCTGTGGTGTTTTGGATCTTTGCTGTCATAAAGCTGTCTGTTTAAATGTGCTATCATTAAGCATAACTACCCTGGGTTTCTGGCAATGCTCAAAATATGTCACCAAAATAAATCTGTTTCCACTTAAATGTAATTGTTTCTGGAAGTTCTTTTTTTAAATAGTAAAAATGAATAAGAACTACTGGGCCCCCATTTTCAGTTTCTCTTGTACTTTTTAGAAGCCTAATGAAGGTGGTCATTTTTGACACCTGCTCCCTGAGCTTTTGGGCACAATCCCCCACCCCTAGGTCAGGTGTCACCCCCCTAGATATCACCATAGACCATATGAAATCTACAAAAACACTATTGTAATCCTATATATGATTCTTGACAACCAAGAACACATTTTCATGCAAAACAACAATGCAATCCAATGGATTCCTGTTATTTCTAGGTATATGATCTATTGGACAACATACAGAGCAAACAAATCAAAACATATTGACTAACGTGATAAACCTAGAGTGTTCCTGATTGGTTGAATGGATTGCTGATGTCATGATTGCATTGCTTGTATAGTGTAAACAGTGTCTTTAATTATAATAAATCAATTTTTTTTTGTCATGGGAAGACAGACTAATTAACTGGTTCTTTGGAACAATTCATTTCGAAGAATCAGTTTCAGCAATAAAATGTTCCAGCAATTATTTTATGTCCTTGACACCTTGACATGAAAATGCTAAAATAAAGCCATATTATCTAGGCAGACATGATTCAGCTCATAATAAATAATTATTTAGAATCTAAATATAATTTTCATTAACAATAAACAAATTCACACGTTCCTGGATTAAAAAGCTCATGCACATTTCAGCAACACGTTCTGTACAACGTGTTAATGAAACTGTCATATCAATTGATAAACAGTGGTGGGCTACGTTTTATTGGTTAAATTTTTGTTTATAAATGTCCGCTCTATTAAACATATTTTATCGTTTCACGCCGTATGTGATTCGGTTCAACTGATTCGTTTTAAAGACCCGACTCAACACAACAATTCGTTCACCAATCGGACATCGCTACTAGTTGCAATGTACAGTTTCCACACATCCACAGCGCGTCGCGCGCACATGCCAGAGGGATCTCATTTCTCTATAAATATCTCAATCGCTTTGCTTGAGTAACGATTGCAATGGTTTGAGTGCCATAGGCTCCTGTTTGACCTGCTGTATAATCGTATAGCCAAGTAAATGAAACGCAATTCATTTGTTGGCGATTTAAGCGCACAACGGCCCATATTGTTGCACTCACTGCCTCTTCAGGCTGCTCTGACAGTTCAGATCGTGGACACTGACCGCTGATAATAAATTAAGCTAACTGCCATGATAATATCAAAAAGGCAAGCTTCTGTTCACATGACTTGAGTCACGTTGTGACATATTTCTCTTTCTTTCAGATGTAATGTAAGACTGTAGCGTACATCGCGCGTACAGCCTATATTATTCGATTTTTTGTTGTAATCTAATCCGGTTTTATTTTATTGAAGTAGGCTAACAGCTCCGCTTCAAATTCAGTTTTGCACACGGAGAAGTTGTAGAATCTTCTGTAAAGTGAAATAAGGACGAAATAAAGAAAATACGGAGCGTTGATTTGAGCATAAAATTAGCGCCTAAAGTGCTTTATTAAAAATAAACCGAATACATTATTAGCCTATAACGCACACTGATGGATCCTGAAGCACAGAGCATGTTCTGTTCATCATCATCATCATCATACTTGACGGACACAAACCGAACCGAGATGGCAACATCACGAAAACATCAAAAGCCCATGAGCCAAGTCCAACAACGCGAAAATCCGAGAAACCAATAGCGCCAAAGCTTAAAGTTCCCTCCAGCACTGAGGACTGAATGGACGTGGTTTGTCAGTACTCACCTCGCTCCAGGGTGAGCGGTTGGACTGTCACTGTCGCCATGACTGTGCTGTGTTATTATCGCTCAGAGAGAGAGAGGGAGAGAGAGAGATGGAGCTGCGGCATCAGCGCACGCACTGTAGCGGCGGAGAGAGCGAGTGAGCGCGGATTGGAGCCCGTGCGGATGATGGGAGTGGTTGGGAGGGGAATTGGATTATTTACCACTCGCTTGTGTAGCGGACGATTTTGAATGGGATACATCGGATGGAGCTGGAGTACTGGTAATTCGGATGTGTAATTAAACGTAGGCTACATTACTAACTTTCATCGAACATGGAATAAACGTTTACATTTCAAATTCGAATTTAGAATAAATCGGGCGTTTCAAATTTAATTTTAAACTTTTGTGGAATAAGAAAGGTTATTTCACGCTTGTGGGAGAAATTGTGTTTAAAAAAACAAACAAGTTATATTAAAAAATTCGAATGACATCAGACGATTCAGACATTACAATTTGTAACTCCTTAACATTAAATAAATAAATGTTTAACATTTCTAATGCTTGTAAAACATGGATAAATAAGACATTAAAGTTGTGATGCGTGTTAATCATTGGTTAAATTGGGGTGCTGAATTTGCAGTATTATAATTTCATATTCGCTAGTTTTACCAAATTTCAAACATTGCAGCTCACAGGAGTGTTCCGAATCTCACTGATGATGGTTTACAATTACATTAATCATGAACATATGCAATGTCTGCATCTCAGTGTACATGCAGGGTTAAACGCAAGACTTAAGCAGAGGCAAATCCCGTGCACAACCTTTGACCTTTGCAGTGAACTGACAGCAGCAGCTAGAGCGCTAGACAGTGTGGCACCTGCAGTGTGAATGCATGCCTGTATTTCATATCCAGTTGTTTAGTGTCTGTGAAACGCACAGTGAAAGTATTTATGAGCACTAGACAAGTCTTTGGGAGATTCTCTTCAGTTTTTTTTTTTTTGTACATGTGTTCATAAATGTATTGTTAGAATGAACTGCTCATTTTTTAGGCCTCATCGTTAACGGCCAACTGGAGAGGTGTGCTATATTTTTAGACCATTCATGCATGATTAGATAACATACTTCTCTCATGTGTAAACTTAAGACAGATTTAAAAAAAAAAAAAAAAAAATTAGGTGACCTATTCCTTTAAGAGCATTTTTCATATGCTTCAAACTTGCAGTTTGCAGGCTGGCTTCAGAAATAACAACACTGATGGATTGCTCTGTCAGTCCTCCAGCTGCAGACAGATGTGCTAAATAATGCGATGGATGGATGGATGGATGGAGGGCTTAAAGCCAGAGAGAAAGAGGCCACAGGGAGATTATGCTCTCATGGCCATATGGGACACTGTCTCTGGAAAACATTCTGCTGGGGAAAAAAGTCTGATTAACAGAGTGTGCTGGGAAGCTTTCCCAATGAGAATTAATTGATTTTTGAATGGATGCGCAAACTGACAAGGAATGTTTGAGTGCATGCATATGCACTCTTTTTTTCATATTTGCAGAAGTGGAGAGAAGAGACTATTTTTAAGCCATGTGAATGTGTAAGAGGTGGGAAGGTGTAGTAGCTCGCATGTGTATAACAACTCTGATTCATATTTCTCGGAAATGTGTTATTTTAGGCCTGTATGTAGGTCAGGGTTTAGCAAATTGCAGAATTTAATAAAAATTACCTCCGTTTAAGTTTGAGTTAATGTGAATCAAATTCACTACAATTCACAACAGAATGTTTATCCATTAGAATGGCAGGATGATGATTTTTTTCTCACAGTTAAATAAACTAGTTATGTGACAAAACATAATGTACAACAAAAGGTTTATATAAATACTGTATATTTTTATTATTATAAAACAAATCATTGCATTTCATTCCATTTTAATTTGACTACCTACACTTAATACGAATTACTGTTCTGCAAATACAAGGATTTAAAAGGCATTTTTTATTAAATTCTGAATGGCACGCAATTGTATGATGCAACAAGTGAGGACACAGCATAATCTATGGCCTTTAGCAAAGATGTTGCCTTTTTTATTTATGCCTGATTTTAGCTTTTTTTTTTTGCAGAAAAGTCCAAGGAAGAGCTGCCTTATTAAAATACTATCGTTCGTTCGATGTATATCTGCACTTTCCTCTAGAAAACAGCACCTATAGTAATTTGGCTGTCAGGAAGTTTTGGAACATGACACCACATCCCTGTAGGACGCCTTCCAAACAGAGACGTGTTCAGTGCAAAGACAGAATATCGTGAGATAAAAATGGCTGGAAGAGGGCAGATACAAGACGGCTGCTGTTTGATCACAGTATGTGTGCTTTGAGAGACAGCTCACTTTTGTTTTTTTTCCCCCCGTTTAGCACGACAGAGGCAGATGTTGTTGTCTGATTCATGAAACGCTGAGAAGAATGGAAGCGTGCGTGTTACTTTGACACGTCTCAGAAAACAAACCAAACGACATGTCATTGTGATATTTGGATATGTCAAACATGGCCTGCTTGAATGCTCTTCTTAGTGGTGTTTGTTAAGGCAAGTGTCACATAATTATTGGTGAAACTTAGAAATCCTACACTATTTTTTTTTCAGTGTGTAATGATGTCTGTTTTTCCACTATTAAAGGGTTAGTTTACCCAAAAATGAAAATTATGTCATTAATGACTCATGAACCGGACAACAGAACCGGAAGAGAATACAATGCTGAATAAAGTCGTAGTTTTTGTTATTTTTGGACCAACATGTATTTTCGATGCTTCAAAAAATTCTAACTAACCCACTGATGTCACATGGACTACTTTGATGATGTCTTTATTTCCTTTCTGGACAAGGACAGTATTCCGTACATACATTTTCAATGGAGGGACAGAAATCTCTCGGACTAAATCTAAAATATCTTAAACTGTGTTCCGAAGATGAACGGAGGTCTTACGGGCTTGGAACGACATGTGGGTGAGTCATTAATGACATAATTTTCATTTTTGGGTGAACTAACCCTTTAATTCTCAACCAGCTTATAAGCATTTTACACCCATCTTGCTCTCTCTCTCCATGTCTGACTCAGACCAAAGCCCATGCAATAGTGGCTGTCCATCAGCTTCAGCTGGACTAATTAAATTGCCACTCATCAAATCAGATTTTAAATAGAGGAAAGGAAGCGATACAGGCTCTTACATAATGTACTGTGAGTGCCTTTACATTGGCTACGTTTACATGCAACCAAATAATCCGTTAGTAATCGGATTGACGGCTCAATCGGACTGAAAGGCCTTCATGTAAACACCTTAATCGATCCGAGCAAAACAGGAACAACGAGCTCGTTGTTCCTGTTTAATAAAGTGTCATATACCGGTAGGCTAAATGAATGTCCCGTCATTCTAAAATTCTCCTTTCACTCAGCGTCTGTGAAGTGGAGCAGGACAACTTCCCACCAGTCCTTGTTTCAGATTCTCATCCACAGACGACTGGTTTTGGGCCATTTTAATTGCGTGATAAACATAAGCAGCACGGCACAACGGTTCATATGCTCATTGTCTCCAAATTATGCCCAGAAATGGATAAATATTAAATCTGCTGTTTAAAACAAGCAGATTTAATATTTAAATATTCTGCGTCTCATATTGAACCAATGTGGGAGAATGGTTATTATGCGCAAACAGCAGGAAACTCTGTATATTCATTCAGTGTGCGCATGTCAAAAAATATATTCTGATTTGAAGCTTGTGTGACATATAAATGCGCACATCAACCCAATCACATGTTTAGCGTTCATGTAAACACTACATTGAGATTCATCAATCGGAATGAATTCAGTCTGATTGAAACAAAAGTTGTGCATGTAAACTAGGGCTGCAACAAACGATTATTTTGATAATCGATTAATCTAACGATTATTAGAACGATTAATCGACTAATCGTCGATTATTCCGCAGACTAATCAGTAAGTTTGGAACGATTATTCAGCAATTAGTTAAAACATTGAGTTATACATATTCTAACTATAATATAAAAAAATAAAATCACTTCAGCTTTTGAAATAGTTGTTTTAATGAACTTTGAGCCAAATAAACAGGTCATTCTCTTTAAGTTTTCAGATTTCGGTCCAACTCAAATCACACACAAATGCTCTCTAAGCATTGTTTAATAGGCCCACTGCTTTTCTTAGAACTGAAACAGAAAAAGGGACATTTACTTCAGGACACAAAGAATGGTAAAATATTAATCTGCAAACAATTATTATAAGAATAAAATTACAATCTTTTTTTACATGACAATTGAGCTGACAGAGATGTTCTCATTCACCTTTTAATTTATAGTATGATAAAGTAACTGCCATGATATTCTTCCTATATCATAGGAAGGATATAACATCTCGTTTTGTAAGTCTTCATGATTATTGAACAAAATACAGGCAAGTGATAAGACTATAATAATACCTAATATACTAATAGTGTTACAATAATAAAAACAGCCCTGACTCCTAAGCTCGATCAAGCTTTATTCTATGCAAAATAAGTCATCACATTACTGTAATTATATTACTATTGATAATATTATTACTATTATTAGTATTGCATTCTCTAATAAAGAGAGATTTACCGCTGGTTAGTAAGCTGGAGAACACTCACTTCTCACCGGCTCCTCTTTTGCCGGGATGTTTTCTCTTGCACACGTGCATGTTGTGCTCCCGTGAAAAGCAAGTTCCGCCTTGCATGTATTGAACACGACAGCATTCTTGATTTGAAGTTTTGTGAAACTTTCCCAAACCTAAACCTTGCTAGTTCGGATTCGTTTGCACTGTCATAATTCGCGCTGTGTTTTCTTCTACCGCAATAGCATTTGTAAGGGCTGCACTACACTCTAGCGCTACAGCGCCGTAGCGGTCAAATCACGGGATTGCAGGCCCTTACATTAGGTCACGTGAGATCAAACGACTACTCGACAACAAAGATATTTGTCGACAAATATTTATTGTCGACGTTGTCGACAACGTCGACTAATCGTTGCAGCCCTAATGTAAACATAGCCAATGCAGTTAGATCATTGACACCCTTCCACAAGTTCACATCAGGGCAGCAGACGAAATAAAAATGAAACATTTACAGTCAAACAATAGCTGTGCTATTACCACCAGTGAGAGAGGGAGTTATGGCAACATGAATGGCTCTGTTTTAGAAAGTCCTCGAACTGACTGTAAATAAGCGCTGGAAGCAAGTTGACGGGCATTAAGTTCTAAGGCTTGATTCTTGTCTAGAATCCTTCCACACAGGGAGGAAACTAATTGAAGATGTACAGTTCGTGTGATGTGCTTGCTGAATGCAGATCAGAGATGAAGACGTGCTGTGAGACCATTGAAAATGCAAAAGCTAAAACAAATACATGCAAATGGAGATCAGCGTGTTGAGGCGAATGTCAGATGCCAGGCAGAATAGAGACTTTAATGGAGTAATTTGAGGATTCAGCACAAGTTAAAAAGGGTTGTATTATAAGGAATACATTTTTCCTTTATCTTTTGAGATACAAGACACACTTGAACTTCAAGAATGGAAAACATCTCCAGTCCAATAAGGACATTAACTGAAATTAGAGCATTCTTTTCGAAACTTATGACACATCGATGTCATACTAGGTGTTCAGAAACATTTTTTAAGAAGGAGGAAGCCAGATAGATGCTGTTATTCCTAAACACCGTAGAAGAACTAAAGATGAATATAAAATAGGATGAAGTCTGTTAACCTTGTGCTGTTTCTGGCTGTGTGTAGCACCTACTACTCTGCGTATTCTTCTGAAAGATCCCAATCTTGGGAAAGAGTGACTGAAGTCACTGAAGTTAAGATGTGTTTACAGTTAGTAGGTTTGGTTAGATTAAAATGAACTCTGGTGCTGTTGCTCTGGGTTATTTCGAACCCTGGTGTGCACCAAACAAGCGGACAGAAACACACATTTTTAGGGGAGATTCTCCTTAAATCTAAAATAGATTTTAGTTGCCTAAAGTTGCCTAAAATCTCTCCTTAGTAGGAGCTAAGCTGCCCATTACAGTTCGGTACCTGTTGTGTACACACACTGCCGACACACGTTTATGTTCAAAAAGTGAATTTTGCATAAAAGAGTCCCCTTTAAATGTAAAAGGGTTATGAAAAACCACATGAGTAACTTCAGTTTTGGCTCAAAAACTGTACTTGGATTACAAGTGGACCACAAGTGGGGAAAAAATAATGATAGAAATGATATGGCCCATACTTTTTCAGCAGACTCCACATTGTAGTTATTTCTTTACCAGCTTTTTATGCTGCTGGTTTGCAGTAACAGTTAGTTACATCATTGTTTTGCAATCAAAAAGGGTAAATGTCATCAATCAATGTGCATCATTCTGCAAGATATATTTATCTTATTCAGTTCTATTAAATCCTGAGCAATTCGCTTCGTAATCTGCATACGGACAATCTGCCACACAAGACTAGGACCACTTAGCATTAATCGCCTCAGCCACTCTAATAGAAAACATTGCACAAGCGTTTTGTAAATCACATCATCCCTTAACTGCCAGCAAGATTGATGAATGACTCAATCACAGTGTCCAGGTTGCACAGTTAAAATGGGACTGCAGTCAGCAGTCAGAGAGGTGTATGTACACAGACAGCAGGCATTAATGACTAGCTGGTCTTGCAAGAGCCATGCATAAGACATTGTCTCCGAAAAACTGTTTAAAAGAATGGTGGTTCACTCAAAAATGACAATTCTGTCATCATTTACTTGCCTTCATCTCATTCTGAACCTGCATGAAATATTTTCCTCTGTGAAATGCAAAACGAGATATTTTGCATAATGGAAGTAGACAGTGAGTGAAAATGTTCTATATGAGTGGAATCTATATGTGTATACATCTATATATGTGTAACAATAATGTGGAATGCTGTTCACTGTAAGAAAAAAATATCCATAGAAAAAAAACATCAATTTTCCTGTTACATTAGTATTTTCAATCTGTTCCAAAAGGCTAAAAGCAAACCAAAGAAAGGTGAGGTAGATTGGAGTGACTATATCATTTCTTTCTGTTATTGATTTGACTGTAGGCCAGAGGGACACATAGTCCATGCTAGGGGGTCAATGGAAGATTTCAGAGAACAATAGTGTAAAACAAAACAAACCCTTGACATTTTTACTTTCATTCTGCTTTCTAAAGAGTGTAGTGTTTCCCTCTGGTCGCTGTGGCCTTCAGCTTGCTTAATGGGGGTTAAGGGCAAGCTGCTTTTGGAGCAATAATTATTCTGAAAAATTGAATTGAATTCTGTCCAATGAATTGTGTCTTTTTTAATTTAAAGCTAACAGTGTTCAGAGTAGAAAAAGACTACATTTATTACAAAGTAAATATTTTCCACATAATATTTTTTAATAATTGTCTTTGATACAGTAGTTCTTGGAATTAGAAACAGTTCGAAAACAATTGTGTAGGCTATTTTCCTATACACATTTATATGCATAGGCTACTATAGGCTACTACTATAGCAGTGCTTAAACATTGTGTTTCATAAATCATGCAGGACACCTCAGAAAGCCCCAACATTACGTAATGATCTCATTGCATGGGTTGCGGTATCTTGGAGTGGCCTCTGCCTGTGATCTGAAGTATTGAATTATTTCGCGGCCATTTTTGAGTTGGGAAATTTGGAGCTCGCTATCGTCAGTGTTTTTCGTCAGCAAACATTGCAGCTGAAACGACGATATTCTGAATAGATAACGCCAAAACATGCGTCTTTTCCAAACTACGCGTTTAAAACACATCTGCATTGGAAATGTAACTGCGTCTAGAGTGAAGGAAAGTCACAAAACAGTGAGTGCTGCAGGCTCTAGAGGTTTGTTGGGTCTGAAGTCTTCTTGCACAGGTGTGTCTGGACCATGTTACCTGCAAAATGTAAAGACAAATATCGGACATGGATGTATACCGCTGGCTTATAAGCCAAACACAAATTATAACGCATACAGGAAACATTTTATTCGTGCGTTTTCATCAAAATACACGTATGAGGACGCGTTTGGCCTGGCACGTGACAAACCCGAAAAGTTTTGGAGTGAAGCGGCTCGTGGTATTACTTGGTTTGAACACTGGACCAACACTCTGGATAATACGGATACAGTGTTTCCAAAATGGTAAGTAGCCTACAGTATTAGGGGGTGTTGATATTATGTTTTTACGTTCAACAGTAACTTAATGGAATTGAACATTGGGTCTCGGGCGTGATACCTGTACGTTGTTAAAGGGAAAGTTCACCGAAAAAATGATGTGAGGCACTATGACAGCCTCAGTCACCATTCGCTTTCACTGTATGGAAAAAGAAATGCTATGAATGAAAGTTCAGTCAACATTCTTCAAAATAACAGTTCTACCGAAAGAAATATATCAAACATGGCTTTCGGGAGTAACAAAACACGAGGACGAGTAAATTATGACAATTTGCATTTCTTTTAAACTTGACTTAAACTTAAATTCTATTAATTCTATTATTATTATTACTCCATTGAAATGCATATTGATTCGTGCATGATGGTAAATAGCATTTTAAACATTTTGATTAGTGTTTTTTTAAGCATTTTAAATTGATCATGGTCAAGGTATCATAACATGAGTATTACTTTAGTTCAACTATTTCTTTAAGAACAACTTTTTCCATTACAGGTTTGTTGGAGGAAAGCTGAATATGTGTTATAATGCTGTCGATCGGCATGTGGAGAATGGAAGAGGTGATCAAGCAGCTGTCATTTATGACAGTCCAGTTACCGGCACTAAACAGGTCATCACATACAGAGAAATGCAGGAGCAGGTAAAACACAGAAGGTGTGGTCACATTAGTGAAATTTCGCAGGCAAAAATGGTCTATTGTCTGTCGTCAATAGTGTAGTGATGTATGAAGCCCAGCTCACACAGAAGTCACTTTCAAAAAAAGCAGCGCTCTGCTGGTCAATGGAGTGAATTTGCGTGACCGACTTGAACCCGTGGATAAATCTATATGGGGAATCTTTAGCGAAATTCCCAATTGCGTGGGTTCCTATTGAAATGACTTGATTTTGCCCACGAAAATTCACCGGACAAGATCAAATGTTGACCGCACATCAAGTCTTTGAAACCAAGAACCTTTCTACACTTCATAGAATTCTGGACCGATTTGCATTCAGTGTACAGTTTCTGTTGTTTTGAGTAATTGATATTTTAAGATTTCTGACTTGCCTCCAGTTTGTATATGTAATGTATCCATAAAGTTCAGCTTCCACACACCTGTTTGTAGGTGTCCAGGTTGGCGGGGGTTCTGGTGAGGCATGGCGTGAAGATGGGTGATCTGGTGGTGATCTATATGCCTATGGTTCCTCAGGCCATGTTCGCCATGCTGGCATGTGCCCGTATTGGTGCCACCCACAGCCTCATATTTGGAGGATTTGCCTCCAAAGAGCTTTCCGTCCGTATCGACCATGCTAAGGCAAGCCATTGGGTTTTCTTTTTATGAAAATGAATAATAAAAAGCGATTTTTGTAAATGCATATCTCTGCTGAGGTTGCGAAAACCACTAGCTCTCTTAAATCATCTTTTTCCCCGCAGCCCAAATTGCTGGTGACAGCATCATATGGCATCGAGCCAGGCAGAAGAGTGGAGTACATTCCCCTGGTGGAGAAAGCTCTGGAGCTCAGCACTCACAAACCACACAAAGTCCTCATCTACAACCGGCCCAGCATGGTGAGTTACCAGAAACCCCATGGCACCTGGATGCCAGTTTCATTGTCAAACTGGCACAGTTTTTACTGCCTATTAACTGTGAAAAGAGAAGGTAATGCAGTCAGAGAATACAAATGCAAATGTGGTCCCCTTTCTAAAAGAGTACCTCTAAATTCAACCTTCACGTCCTCCTTCTCAACCAACATAAATCTCTGTAGAAGTAAGTTAGTCTTTTTTCATTTGTTTAGCTGTACTGTATATTGTAGCACTCAAAATATATTAGGAAGTCAAATGTTTCAAAGCGTTAAGCATTTCAAAAAACTCTAGCTAAACTCATTTAATTTTCCTCTTTTGGTGTCTGTTTAAAGGAGTTTTCTCATGTTGCTACATCTACAATCAGTATGTTGATTTCACAAGGCAGGAAATTGCTTAAGCTTCATCCTGTGTTGTCATGGAAACTGTTTGCAAATAGCTTTTTGATTTTCCAGCGGTTTGGGACACAGGATAAATCCCGAATGGTTGGTAAAGACGAACTCGTCTTGGAAATCAGAAAAAAAAGAAGAAAAAAATCATATGTGAGGGGAGAATTTGCCAGCCCCAGAGGTGTACATCCCGTTAGAACTTTAGAAGATTACTCAATAACAGGATCTTATTTCCAGAATATTTTGGAATATTCAAAAATACTTGATTCGAATGAAAACGCATCCATGCACTGCCGCAACAAATACCAAAACACTGGGTTAACACACTTATCCAACGAAATCAACTGTTGCATTTTGATATTTGCGAGCAATGGACACATTGTAAAAAAATAAATAAAAAAAATCTGTAATTAATCATAAAACGTGTCTAAAAGACTTAAAGAAGCTTTTTTGTGTTTCTCACAACTGAATGCGATATGCCTGAAATACAAGTAGGGGAAAAAAGAGGAAGTCATACAGCTTTGAAACAGCATCATGGTGCATAAATCATGGCAGAATTTAATATTTTATGTGAACTATTCCTTTAAGGCACCTGAAACACTGGATTTGCACTTTGGACTTCCCATAAAATTTAAACAAAATAACTTTTATATCTGCCTGGCAGTGTTACTGTTGTTAAATAAAACCAAAAGTAAAACTATTAAAACTTTTTTATTAATTGAAATAAAGCTAAAATAAAATCTAAATATTAGATGAAAGACAAAAGAACAATTACAAAAACAATGATCAAACTAAAATAAAAGCTAATTCAAAATATGATTAAAAATGATACAATTATTTAAATAATACTAAAATAACTGCTGCCTGGACTTGAGCTAGACTTTTGCTTCCTAATATCATTCTCTGATCATTCTGAGGAGCATGCTTTCACCCTTTCACCCATTTCTTTCCCATAGGAAAAGGTGTCCACGCGTCCTGACCTGAGTTTGGACTGGGAGGAGGAAATGGCCACTGCCCGCCCTCATGACTGTGTGTCCGTCCCCGCTCATCATCCTCTGTACGTCCTGTACACCTCCGGCACTACTGGCACTCCTAAGGTAAAATCTTGTTAATGACAGTACACAGCGATAAAGCACGCAGCTGAGGGAACGGGTGAAATTGTTTAGTGTGGAATAGATCCATGCTGTTTGGTGCTTTGTTTATTGCATATTGTGTTAGCAGGAGACCATGAGCCATACATCTTTATAAACTCTCCTGTGTATTCAAGATAAGAAGGAAGGAGCTTGTTTTAGTATAAAGGATTTAGCCTGTTGCTGTGATGCTGCCTGAAGCTCTGTAAGCTTTTCGCTAACAAAAAGAACCAAAAAGTACTTTTTACTCAAAGGTACATGTTTTGGCAATGCACCTTGCAGTACCATGTAAATACTAGTTTTCAGATTCAATTTAAACAGTCTGTAGGTATAGGTAAGAAGGTATTTTAGGTAATGGCAAACAGAAATTGCATACATTTTGTAACCATTAAATACTTTTTCTCACAGTCCTGTCTTTTTTCCTTTGGATTTTATTTCTCACATTTGTGACTTTATAACTTAATATTCTGACCATTAAAACAGTAAATGTAGCACAATTCAACAATGAAAAATGCCACCTATCCGATTGTGCTTACTAGAGCACAATATTCATGTGGTTTTAGGCTTTATTAACGTCCATACCTACCCCAAACCTTAAATCTGTTCTTAAAACAATGCAAATTTAATGTTGGTAGCATTATTTGTCAGAACACCTGTTAGTGTGATCACCGCCACACTGTGGTGCCAAGCTAAGCACGTGAAGGATGATGTTTTATGTTATTATTGGAACATAAGTAAAGTACAAAAAGCCTATACTTTACATAATAAATAATAGTTTAGCATCCAAATATGGAATAACATATGGAAGCGTATATTGAAACATTTGAATTTGTGCCAAATGAGAGAGGTAGGCTACATGCAGTAAACGTTTTCAAAATATCTTGAAAAATGCTTTTGTCGGTTAACCAGTTAATTATGAGCATCCCTATTCTATAGCCTTTGGCCGTTACATTGTGTGTGTGTGTGTGGGGGGTGGTGGGGGGGTTCCTCACTATAGGACACTGTTACAAAAGTAACAAAGAAACTAAAAAACATTGAACTCCTAATTTGAGGTATCGTGTTTTCTCATTATGTGAATAGTAGCTGATTAATTCACTGAAAGAAACACTAAAAGCACCCCTCTCTCCCTCTCTGCAAAATATTGTAATTATTTTAATGAGCATGCACCAGTAACTTTGTCACAGCTGGGTTGACTGGGTATTTCCAAGCTGCAGGCTGTTTTTTATTTTTCAAATATGCTATGTCTAGTTAAAATGCCTTAAAATCATTGCGATATATTCAGTGTTTTTGATGACCAGCAAAATATTAGCTAAAAATGCTGGGTTATATTTTTGATTCAGCCTGTTTGGTATTTTTTATTAAGTGCTAGGTAGTTTTTGTGTCAGTACAATTGCTTGGTCAGTTGTGCTGACAATACATACATACCTACCCAGCGCTGGGTCAATGTAACCCAATGTTGGGTAGTCTGTGTCATACTGGTTAAAACTGGATAAATTTGCCAACGGTCATTTGTGGTCTGGTCTGAGAGAAAACGTCCTGAAGGGAAACTTCCTGTATTAAATTAAGGTTTGTATTACATTGTTTTCCTAACATATTTTTTTTACTGTAGAAACAGGAAAACATCTGTATTCTCACCTTTTTGTTCACATGTCCATCACAGCTAACGCCTGCTTGGAACGCTCTCCTTCTACAAACGCAGCATACACTGGATCTACACTCGATGTTACGTGCCGTCAAATGGAAGTTTGACCACCTGCCAAACCAATCCTGCAACCAGGGCTGAGACACGTTAACACTCTATGCAACAAAGTTGACGTGCTCATGCGGTTTATTCAGTCCCTCTCTGTTGACTACAATGCGAGCACTCTATTGGTCTAATATCTAGCTAGTGTCGCGTTTGATGGGTTGAAACTTAAATGTCTGGCAGACGAGATGATGACACAAGGTAAAGCTATTTTTGATGTAGCTTTGCAAACACTATTATTAGCATAAGATTGTTATTTAATGAATTGGAACAGACTGATACTCTACTGATATCAGTTTTCAGTTTAAAATACCAGTTTTCTTCCCACAGATTCTCTGATCCTGACACTTTCTAAAACATTTTCAATATGTTTTTGAGTATTTTATGATTGTCAAAGACTGACTTGTCATTGAATAAAAATGATTTAATATTTTCTACTGTCCCTGTCCTATATATTTAAAGGGATACTCCACCGTTTTTTCATATTAAACTATGTTATACTCTTATCTAAGACGAGTTGATCCATACCTCTCTCGTCTCAGTGCGTGCACTTAATCGCTCTGTCGGGCGGAGAACTTTGAGAGCAGTTAGCTTAGCCCCATTCATTGTATATGGGCCAAACAGAGATGAAGTTAGAAGCGACCAAACACATCCACGTTTTCTCTATTTAAATATAGTTACACGAGTAGTTACACGACCAAGTATGGTGACACTAAATAAAATGTGGCGCTTTCTATAAGCGGGTAAAATGGATAACTATAATGTATGGCGGAATAGCACTTATTGGGAGCACTTCGACTCGGCGCTGTAATATCTTCACTCGTGAAAAGTCCTCTCCCCCCTCTCCCTCTCCCTCATACTTAGTTTAACTCTGCACAAAAAACTACTACTACTGCAGGCGTGCAGGTCACGTTGGTTCTATTGACGGAAATGACAGGGAGAGGGAGAGGGGGGAGAGGACTTTTCACGAGTGAAGATATTACAGCGCCGAGTCGAAGTGCTCCCAATAAGTGCTATTCCGCCATACATTATAGTTATCCATTTTACCCGCTTATAGAAAGCGCCACATTTTATTTAGTGTCACCATACTTGGTCGTGTAACTACTCGTGTAACTATATTTAAATAGAGAAAACGTGGATGTGTTTGGTCGCTTCTAACTTCATCTCTGTTTGGCCCATATACAATAAATGGGACTAAGCTAACTGCTCTTAAAGTTCTCCGCCCGACAGAGCGATTCAGTGCACGCACTGAGACGAGAGAGGTATGTATCAACTCGTCTTAGATAAGAGAATAACATAGTTTAATATGAAAAAACGGTGGAGTATCCCTTTAAGAGTGATTTTAAATGTATTATTTAAAATGAATAACCTTCAATATGAGGTTGTTTGGCAAAGCACTGTGCAACAACCTAGGAAATGGGTTAATGTATAAAACCCAAAATAAAATAACCCAGAATTTGTTCTATGCAATATTTACCCAGAAATAATATCTATGTCCAATATTAACCCAGAACCGGGGTGCCAAATAACCCAGCAATGGTTGTTTTGAACCATTTTAAGCAGTGTATTCTTTAAAGGTTGGGTAGGTCGTTTTTGGTCTAAAAAACTTTTTCCCAAATTTGTTTAAACTTTCTATATATATCAATGCATAATTAAAATGTAAGTACTCTGATAAAAAGAGTATAAAAATCGAGTGACTCTAGACCGTTTAATCTGCACTAAACACAGCTCATTATTTCCTTCCGGGACGAAACAAAGGATTGGCTTAGGCGACTGTCACTCTCTCGCAACCATGGCAACACCCCCGCTGCTACATGCGCTGCCCACATGCGCGCACTCGTTTGACTCGAGGAGGGTAAGAGACTAGTAAGAGACACAATTACATGCAAAACACGGCGTATATGTTATGAATCTTACACAAAATTCACCTTCATCACAGTGTAACTGATTGTAATGGGAAAACGTGTATCAATGCAACCTGTTTTTAGCTTTGCTTTATGTTACTAGCTCGTTAACGAATCAAACTCAATATATTTTAAACTTTAACAGTATCGATATGCTAGCTTGATAGTGAGTATTAACAGCCATGTTAGTTGTTTATATTCATAATGATAAAGTTAGGTATTTTATTACATGTGAGTCTGACATGATGTCACTACATGCACTGCTCCTCTCCGCTCGGCGCTAGTAAGCGCGTCCTCCAGCTGTGAGCTGTCGGCATCGCACGTTCATGTGTTTTGGGGGCGTGGTTTTGGAAGGAGCCCAGAATGGAGGGGGTGGAAGTGAATGGAGATAAGTAGCTGTGTTTATTACAGCCCTGAGAGGACTACAGACACTCGATTTTTATACTCTCTTTTCCAGAGTACTTACATTTTAATTATGCATTGATATATATAGAAAGTTTAAACAAATTTGGCAAAAAGTTTTTTTAAAAAATTCTACCTACAATACCTTTAACTTGTAATTCCTACATGATCCCATCAAATGTCCCACCTTACTTATTCTATTGTTCCACCCCAAGAAAAAAAATATTTTGTCTATTTAATATTGTCCAAGAGGCGAAAAGCGTCTTGAAATTTGCGTCAGCATGCCTCAGGTGCTTGTCAATCCCTAACAACTCACTTTTATATGTACTTTGACTGAACAAGAAGCAAGTCAAGAGAAAGGGAGTATAAGGAGCACACGAGGAAGTTACAAGGCCTGAAGGCAGAGCGAACAAATACGGCTCTCCACTGACCCAGTCTTCAGCCAGTGTGAAATATATGGCTCAAGGGCCAGGCAATGCTGCCCTGTACATAAAACACTTGCTAATGGCCCTTGCTTGCTCTCACACACACCCCTCCGATTTATGGATCTAAGTCTGTTTGGCACACACAGGATCTAATTATCACCCTACAACTCAAAATGTGTCCCTCACTATCAACCCTCAACCTGATTTGATAATGATTTACTGACGGTAAGGACAAAATGAGTTGTAATACAGATAATGGCGATTAATTGTGTTTTGTTCATCTCACATGATTATGAAATAAAACATGATTACATGATACATGATTGTCTTGAAGGCTTTGTAAATAAAAAATGCAACCACAGAAACCGAAAATTCTCGGGACAGCAGCATGTGTCCAAATTTTAATCTTAACCATTCTATTTCATCAGAAACGATCTTAAAACAGGGCTTTAAGTGTAAAATACCGAACTTGTCCTTTAAGGAAAAAAATTGCACAATATTTTGTTATCATTATAGTTATCTTGCCATATTGTTCTCGTTCTTGGAATGAACGGGCCTTAACAGTGATGTTTGTTTCCTGTAAATAATGTCTTTCTTTTCTTTCTTCTCTTCAGGGTGTAGTCAGAGATTCAGGAGGATATGCTGTGATGTTAAACTGGACCATGTCTAACGTTTATGGACTGTCTCCTGGTGAGGTACGTCATGATCTCTGATTTTTGCAAGTGGTAATGTCATGAAGAACTACATTTTTATAAAAAAAATGTAAGAAAAAAGATTTGATGGACTTTGAAAACATAATTCCTCCCTGATCTAAAACGAGTGCTCATTAAAAAGTTGCATAAAATGCGTACAAGTAAAATGGGGAAAAATTGTGTAGCACCTGCCGCTCTGCGTAACCATTCTGAGGATTCCAATGGTAAGGGGAGGTCACATTTACCATTGTTTGGCGGATTTTTGTGCACGTTATCCAGTCATTTCAATAGGAATCCACACCATCTGAAATTTAGCATGGGCACGAAAGACATACATTGCTACACTATTGACTATAGACAATTGAATTTTTTGCCTGTCCAATTTCTGAATAGTCATAATTTTACTATTGTGACAGCACTTTCTCATCTGAAGTTTTAGTCTGACCTTGATTGACCAAAATGATGATAAATGCATGACATGACCCCTTGAAAAAGCTTCTGTCTCACACCGTTTAACCTTCACGTCTCTCTCTGTCAGGTCTGGTGGGCTGCGTCTGACCTTGGCTGGGTGGTGGGCCACTCCTATATCTGCTACGGTCCGCTTCTACATGGCAACACAACCGTGCTCTACGAGGTATGGGGCATGTGTGGGCAAAAATGTGCGAATGTGAAATGAGTGTGAGTGCTTTACAGCATTTGACCTGTGGACCGCTCCAGCTAACACTCAATTACCTGCTGTTGTGGTTTGCTGGATCCTGACACTCATGCTGAACTGATGTCCGTACTGTGGAATTTTACAGGCTCTAACATTCATTTCTCGAGGGGAATGAATGCAAGGAAGAACGACTCTCTACAGCAAATTCCTGAATTTGTGCTCAGATAGACTTTGTTGAGCATTCGATTTGCTGTTGCTTTTCGTAAGCTTTTGTACTGGTAACAAAGCAGCTCTTATAGCATTAAACTAGTTCTCCTCATTGAGTCTTAGCTGAGATCGCAGCATGAATATTAAAATCATTTGCACTCGGTGGGAGACGATCAGACTGTGTTTGGTTTTATGTCAAGGTGAATTCAGCACTGGCATCTCCTCTGCTGATTAGATGTGTTGTTTCGCTCCACATGAGAAAATGGGAGATGCTCACAGAATTTATTAGTCTGCTGTAATGGAAGTTTGATTTCAACAGATCTCTCATACAATGTTAATGTCCAGGGCTGCGTTTCCCAATAGCCTAAGTTGATCGTAGAGACCATTGGTGGCAATTGTTCTACGATCAACTTAGGCATACGATGCTTTTAGGAAACGCAGCCCAACCAAAACGCCCTCAGGCTGTTTTAATTAATGTCTTTTGTAATTATGCACATTTATGATCGTATTGGGTTTATACTATAAACTAACGCAACATGATCACCCAAACCTGATCTGATTTATTCAGTAGTGGTGATTGCTAAGAAAACAGGTTTTAAACTTTTTGATGCCAATGACCCCAAATATAATCACCCCCTTGCAAGGGACCCTGTTTGTAAAATATTTGTAAGAAAAATAGTGTAATATTGTAGGGATTTCTGTTGTCTTTGTACAAGACTAAAGCTGAAATAAATTAATAAAGTAATATCAGGGAAATATACAGTAGTCAACATTTTGAAGTTGATCAAAATAGTTGATCAAAGTTGTCCTAAGACAAGAACGGGTATTGTTCAAAATCAAAATTCATGTATAACTTTGATGAAAGGTTTTGATCCACTTCAGATATTGACTAATGTATATCATTACTTCAAAATAATATGACTCATTCAGATTTATTTGTGTAGTGCATATCACAATAAATATTGGTTCTTTTTTTTCTCTAATTTTTGAAATTTCACATTTCAAATCTCCAAATTGCACTAGCAAGAACGTATTGATGTAATTGGCTCACCCAAAAATGTTTATATATATTTATTTTTCATTAATTCACCCTCATGTCATCCTGAATCTGTTATTTTCTTCTTCTTTTTTTGGAAAATAAAAGAAGCAGTTAAAAAAAAAAAAATTTGTTTTATCTCTTGTCCATAAATTCAATGGGGTCAAATGTTGCTTGGACCCCAACGTTCCAATTATCTTCTTTTGTTTACACAGAAGAAAGAAAGGTTTGGAACGGCATAATGGTGATTAAACAATGACAGAATTTTCAAGATAGGATGACAGCATAGGTGGGATTTTACTTTCTAAGCAACCGGCCATCATACAGTTTTCCCCTGGTTGACTTTAAAATGGGCAAGCAAAAAAACAACAGCTGCAGCAGTATTTAGACTATGGGCTGTTTTGCTAGTAAGTAACCATCCAGATCACACTAATAATTACCTATCAGTGCCCTATCAATAACGAAGAACCCCCTAAGACCACCTAGCAATGCACTGAAAACCCCTCAGAACACTTTAGCAACCGCAAAGCAAAGACCTGGCAAAACTCGTCTTTGAGCAAACATCACTCACTTCAAAAATCGGAAATATTGGATAATTTATATTACATAGCAAGTGATTCAGTGAGGTAAACAAAATGAACATTAAAAGCCTGCCAATTGCTGATTGACGTTGACGTGCAACAGATGCAGGTCCTTGTTTTGAACATTGTAAATCAAGGAAAAACCTTGTTCTTGTTCAGTTAAACAATTATTCATGGGCAGCTGATGTTTTTTCCCACTTTACTTTCTTTCTTTGGAATCAATCAGCCATAGGTAGACCTATACTTTTGTTTCTATAACAACACCTAAATGTTACAATAATTATTAGTTATCTATGTTCAAAGCTTGTCTAAGAAAAATCTCATAAATTTGAAATTGATTGGCCATTTTTTTTTTCTTACTAAAATGCACACAAACGCTGTTCAACAAGATGAGAGGTTTGTGTGCAATCCGTTTGGTTTGTTGTAATATGAAGTCATCGTTTAGCTCTAAGAGTATTCTCTCTGAGCAGCATGGCAGAAACATGAATATTTGAACAGCTCCTTGTGTGTGCAATCTCTCTGCAACAATATTATTCCGTTCCTTTGCCATACGTTTTGGCCATCTGCCACCCAGGCACCTTTTCAAACCACTCTCCATTTCAAACACATCCTTGATTTAATATTCACTCCCCAACCGCAGCAAATGCCCCATACTGATCCAGTCTGACACTGGGAGACTTGTACAGTTCAAAAGTGTTATACTTGCAACAGATGGCTGTGCAAAATATTAAACTTTAGCAACTTCAGTAGGATATAAAATGCGACTTTTTTTCAAAAGACTCTATCTGGAAATCTTCAGTAATTTTGTTGGGGTTTTTAATTGGAAATCTGTAGTAATTTTGTTGATTTTTTTTAAACTTAATATTGAACCATTTTTCTGAAGACATTGGTCTCATTTATGCATTCAGATGCTTAAAGCAGTTGCTGTTTCCGCAGGGTAAACCTGTGGGGACTCCGGACCCCGGGGCCTTTTTCCGTGTGATGTCTGAGCATGGAACAGCCTCCATGTTTACCGCTCCCACTGCTATCAGAGCCATTCGCCAACATGACCCTCAGGCAGAACACGGGAAACAGTACCCGCTCAGCAGGTAAACTCAAATCTGTTCACATAATGGCCCACGACATGGAACATCTTCAGTGAGGCATCTGCAAACAAGTTTGTTTTATTTTTGTATCAGTGGCGACTACACAGGAAACACGGCTTCCCCTAAAATTAATGAAATGTTTATGTGCAGTATATTCAAGTAATCTCTTTCTCTATGTATTTACAGAGGTCCCAAACAAGTTTTTGGACACTTATGTCACACAGATAAATATCTGAATATCAATGCATTAGATACAAAGCATCAAAACAGGTGGCAAATAATGCTGGTTTCCTCAGAGGTAACAGTACTTTTCTGAGACACTTTTTAACTTTTAATTATTTTAACACTGAACAAGTAGGACGTTTTTCATAGATGCAAGTCAGTTCCCCTCATAGTGGTCCAATCTAATGTAGAAACGAGTGCAGAAATCATCTTACGACAGGGTTCATGTGTGATTCATGAAACATTCGTATTCCGCCAATCCCATCGTACGAATGATCGTACGTTAATAAATGTGCCATCTGAAAACAGTTGTCATTTAAATATCACGTCCATATGAAGAGTTTATGACATGGAGAAACTTAACCAGGAAGTAATCTCATGAAAGAGAAATTGATCTTATACCAAAAACGCATGTTAACCTCGTAATTGCAAACAATTAAATTATTATTTACCACAAGAAAATACTTTATTAATGTTATGGATAGACTAAATGACACACTATCAATAAAATATTTTACCATTGGCAACACATTTTTTAAATGATAAATATGTGGCTTGGCTTCATATGTTTTCATTCCAGTCAAAATGCTTTTCTCAAAAAAACAAAAACAATTCTGGACCAGATTTACTATGCTGGACGCAAAAACTTGCGTACGGGAGTTGAAACATGACGCAAGATTTGATCGTAGCCACCGCTCACGCCCATTTTGATAAATGTCCAGTTTTGTGCGGAAACGACCGTACGCCCAGTTTTCGTTTTGTACACAAGGGCCAGTGACTTTAAACGTGTTTGACCAGATTTTTTAAAATTTATTGTTTTAAATTTGTATAAAACAAAAAATAAATTGTTATATAATACAAAATACATTTTTAATTGTGGCTTACGTGTCAAAATACTTCTTGGAGCCACTTTACAATGTACACATCAGCCTTGGTACATTGAGATGTTTTTTGCACATTGCTATTGTGCTGTTTGACCATTTATTTTTCAAAAGAAATGCTGGCTTATTGGACATCAGGCTTTCAGTGTCACGTTGGCTATAATGAAGTGCACAAGGAAAGAGATAGAGAACAAAAATAGTCTTTAATAAAATAAACAAGGGACACTCAGGAGATCATAGGAGAACAAACTAACACAACCACCTTAACTTAGAAGATACCGAACTAAGGCACAGATTGAAACTCAGGGCTTAAATACACGGAGAGGGTAATCAAACTGAACAGAAACAACGTGTGAAGGACTAATTAACAATCACGGAACTAAACTTAACTAACTGCTCAAACTAATATAATGCAGATTTATAATAATAACATTATAATATTTTAAATGATAGAAAAGTACAAATATAATAGTGCATATATTTAGCAAAATACTCCTCTCTATATTTTTTTTTTCTTGCTAACTAAAATAAATGTAACATGACATTGTTTACAAGTCATTTCCCTGCTTAGTCGCAGTTTGGGGAGCTACATTGTAGACACCTAAATTAAAATAATAGCTGTAAATACACATCCGTTTCCATTTTATCTAATGTCTGTTGCCACTGTTTTGTTTTGTCCCCAAAATCATTACTTTGTCTAACACAACATGGCATTTAGGCACTCGTAATGTGAATTTAATTATTGTTATCAGATTTTAATGCTTTCAAAATCTTTAAATTTCACTAAACAGCCCTGGTTTAATAGAAATGCCATTACAGTGTTGATTCTAGTGTGGATGTTCTGTCTACAAACACTATGTTGCTGTTTGCTGTGAAAGTGCATTTGGGGGCAAAAAAAAAGTGCAGTTACCATGGTGATAGTAATGGATGTGTTTCAATAAAGCAGTATAGAGCTGCTATACAATGGTTATGGCTTTGATTTAAAATAAAGCACCATCATGGAGCAGCAATTCCACTTCTTCCTTGCACTCAAATGATATTCTGCCTGTAATAACTATTCAGTGCCCATTTAAAGGCTCAGTCACATGGCTATTAATCATTTACATAAACGTCCAGTTAATAGATGGTTATGAAAGCTCGCACCCTGGAAAAAATGAACCAGAAAAATAATTGCATTGATGTGTGGTTGGAGGTATATTGTCTGTAGCTTTACCCTTTTATCCCTGAGATCTACAATGTTCATCAAGTTTTATTGCGCAAAATAAACTGAAGCTTTACCTACGTGACCATTTCCATCCTCTCGCTGACTTATCATCATCAAACATTATTACAGACTCAAGGTCCAAATTAAAAACAGGCAATAAATAAAAATGAACAAAATACAACAGCGTAAATTTCTGAATTGAATGACTGTCTTCTTTATCATGTAAGTATGGGTGGTCATGTGCCTGACCTCATTTAAGTTGTGACATATTTTAAACTTATTTTCATGTTGAATTTATTATGAATGTTTTGTATCCTTATATTCCTATAATTAGATATCTTGTTATTATATTTTTGACTTCTCATTATATTCTTATTATTTATTATTATAACATAACATAATATCTATCTATCTATCTGGGCTGTCAAACTGATTAATCGCAATCTAAAAAAAGTTTGTAAATATATACTGTATGTGTGTACACACACACACACACACACACACACACACACACACACACACACACACACACACACACACACACACACACACACACACACACACACACACACACACACACACACACACACACACACACACACACACACACACACACACACACACACACACACACACACACACACACACACACACACACACACACACACACACACACACATTATCTGACTTTGAAAATACAATGCATTACAATTTTACCAGCATAGTTAACCCAGCTAGATAAAAAAATACTATAACATCATAACTGTCCAATAATAGCATAATAGGGATTGTCATTTAGTAGATGGTGCTCGTTTACATTTTTTGACACCTCATGAATATTTATGCTGCATAAAAATCAGTTGGTGTTTTTTCCACACTTGGCTTATGCAAATCATCATAGTACCAATAATGAAGTTGTATTTTTCACTAGAAAAATAAACACATGGCCATTATTTCCATTTAAACTGGCTTTATGTGGCTCTGGGTCTGTCAGTTATTATTATGCTATGTTTCTTTAAAATGACCGTTAATGAATATATAAGCCACTTTAATTTTTGAACATAAATGACACAAGCAAGAAAAACAAACGCAAAGATGAAATGTAAGGAAAGGCAATTCAGCTCGACCAAAAAGAGCCACGCAATGCGTGACTTTACACAAAAGCACAGGCTCTCAGTCCAGGAGTGTGTCTCTCGTATCGGCGCTGTAACCTGCGGCTCTCAGCGTGGGTTTAATTGCATGCCAGAGGGCACGACTCGACTCAATAGAATTTTCCAGCTCAGAGAATCTACAGTGACGCTGTAAGATCAAGATCTGCCTTCTCTTTAAGATCATAAGGCCGATGTTAACCCGCACCTGCGGGAGGTCACTGTGATGGATTCCTGAATCTATTACATCCATGGATTTGTAAACACGAATACTGTTGCAAACGGTACCTTTATTGCACAATTGTAGCATAATCTTTTCGCCTACTTGCACACTTTTACACAATATAGCGAATGATCTCATCTTCATGTACATCAGTGCGTCATTTCCATGTTGTCGTGAGCTTTTTTCTTTCCAGTAAGCTGCAATGGTACTCATTTATTGCAGTTTTTATTTCATTAAAGTGCCCATATTATGGTATTTTAAAGGTTCCTCATTTTGTTTTGGAGATCTACTACAGTGTTTACATGAATCCATGTTCAAAAAACACTTTAATTTTCTCATGATATATATTTCAGCATCCCCTCGTTTCTCACAGTGTCTGCAACAGTTGGATAAAAGATTCAGTAAGACTGGAATTGCTGACGACTCCTTTCAGGCAGTTCAGAATCGATTCTTTGTTTTGAGAGACAATAACTTAATTTATAGTGCACTTTGATCTTGGAAACTTTCACATTCACAAAGGAGAAGGTGTATATCATGTTTTGGACTCCAGCTTCCAACAGACTCCAGCTTCTTGTAATGCAGATCACTCATACTGTAGGTGACCTCGACTCCAGGTAATTGAATAGTTTCTGCATTGTTTGACCCTGGAGTGAAACAGTGAAAAGAACTTAGCCTTATTATGGTTACTTGATCATAAACACTGACTCAAAGAGAAGCAGTTCTGAAGGAGGATCATATAGGGGAGAGTGTGTTGTCCTTTTATCTAGTGAACTGTGCACTGTTTTTTATGCTGACAACTGTTTTTTTTGCATGTCAAAGTACATTTTCTGTGGCAGATGAAATTAAGTATGTGGCAAAGCAAATTTATTCAGGCCTTAATATATAAAATATTATATATATATATACAGTATATATATATACATATATATATATATATCAGTACTCGTTGGTGAAATTGCTAGTTTATAAAACCATTTGGCTTTTGTGAAAAACAAAAAATTATTTGGCTAAAGAATAGCCATTAAGCCTTTCACTCAAAACGTTAGCTGTATCAGAAGCTTTGGGGTAAGATGTGTCAAGAGTTTTGCCTCCAAATGCAGCATATACTATTACAAACATCAAGTATTTTCCTAAATGATTTATGAAAATGTTAATAGTGTGAAATAAAATTAAGTCTTTAGAATGTGATTTTGCAGTAGTTCAAATCTTCCATATTTTTAATAAACTCATACATTTTCAATAACCATGTGGATTTTGTGGGAAAAATTGACTGTCCTTGGCTCCTTAGTGAGCGTCCCTTCGGTATCAGGTGTAGTTTACTGTAGACTTGAGCAGATGAAAGGATTGTGTGATGTGACCACCCTCAGCAGGGTTTAATCCAATCCTTGTTTGAGGATTGATGACAGCAGGAACCGTGAGTCCTCACCTTTACACCCCCTGTGATTCATCCAATCAGCGCTTGTCAGTTCTTCTTGTTTCTTTACTCCCAGAATGAGTTCAGTAAATATTTAATGCAAACCTGCATTCTTGCTCTTCACACATTTGTTTTCTGCAAAATCTTTGGGGACACACGAGGCTGCTCTGAAGTGTACAGACTTTCTAAGAGCTGTTTTTTTCTTTCTTTCTGTAGGCTGAGGAACTTGTTTGTAGCCGGGGAGCGCTGTGACATAGAGACCCTTGAATGGGCCAAGAGGAGTTTTGGAGTCCCAGTGCTGGATCACTGGTGGCAAACTGGTGAGTCACTGCTAACCTCTATTTAATTTCTGCTGTAATTTCCTATTGCATGTTTCATAATGCCATCTTGTCTTTTAAGTCATTGTTCACCGTCATTCAGATCCGTTTTCTCAGATTTAGTCTTTAGGACTGATTGTTCACAACATCAGTTGCCATAGTAATAACTTAAGCATCAGCACAACACCATGAAGTGTTATTATGTAACCACTGTGAGCTGTCATTGTGGAAAGTGAGGACTGTACATTATGTCAATCATGAATTTTGTTGTAATTTAATCCAAATTGACTTTATTTGAATTCAAACCATGAATGGATGTGGTTGTAAAATGGATTTCATGGAGTTTTTTTTTTCTGTTCATAGTACAAACAAATGGATTTCTTTCAAGTATGCAAAAAAAATAAAAAATGTCTGAACAAAGCCTAAAATGAAGTGTGATCCTCAGCTGTTGAAAATCAGCTGGTAATGATATCAGTGGTTGGCACAATGTGATTCCTCTCAGCAGGCTATGAGTCAAAAAATGTCTAATTTAAGCAGATCAAATACTTGTTTGATGGAAGTTTGAGTGGCACCGTATTCAATTGATGGTAGCTGGGAATGGGATTAGGGGTGGCCGGTATGACATCCAGATACACTGCCATTCAAAAGTTTGAGATCGCTATGTTTTTCTCCAGAAGGGATCGGTTTCAAATGAATGCTGTTGCTTTGAACTTTCTATTCAAGAACATGGAAATTAAGAATCCTGGGGGAAAAAAGTTCCTCAAAAATATTAATCAGCTCAATTGATAATAATAAGAAATGTTTCTTGAGCAGCAAATCAGCATATTAGAATGATTTCTAAAGGATCATGTGACACTGAAGACTGGGGTAATGATAATGAAAGGTTTGCATCAGAGGAATAAATTAACATTTTAAAAAAAATGTTAACATAGAAAACATATTTTGAATTGCAATAATTAATTATTAACAATAATAATTGCAATATCAACAATAATAATTGCAATATTAACAATATTACTGTTTTTAATCTATTTTCTTAATCAAATTAAGGCAGCCTTGGCGAGCATAAGCTCAAAAATATCAAAAATCCTCCTGATTCCAAACGTGTGAAAGTTGTGTTTGTAATGTGTACATTACATTAATTCCTTGTAATGTACAAAAATAAGCATGTTTTGTATATTTGTGGAGATGACTACCTAAATATACTTTACTCTTATTTGATTTTCTTTGATAAGAAAAGAATCTTACAAAGTTAAGATTATAACAAATGAACAAGTCTGGCATAAAAAACTAAAAAAAAACTTCATAATGGCACCGTGTAACACCTTAGTTCAGGGGTGTCATACTCGGGGTCACAAAAGGGTCACTGTCCTGCAGATTTTAGCTCCAACTTGCCTCAACACCTGTCTGGAAGTTTCTAGGTTGCCTAGTAAGACCTTGATTAGCTGCTTCAGGTGTGTTTAATTGGGGTTGGAGCTGAACTCTGCTGGACAGTGGCCCTTCAGGACACCCCTGCCTTAGTTGAAAGGAAATAACTGAAAACAGTACACAAACAGATTGATTCAACTCTAAGTTTCTGTACGCTTCACTAAAATAAGTGGCAGAAGGCAAAAGGTGCAACTTTCTGTTGTTTGTTTATCCATGTTGCAAGTTCCTGACCTTAAAGTCACTCTTATTTCTCTGGCAAGCCTGGAATGGATTGTCTGAAAAACAGTACACTTCTTTTGATATTCATAACCCCTATTGCCAGCATTATGCATAAGCCATCACATACATAATGAATTGGGTTACCTCCTCGTTCTATACTGGCCGCAAAACATATTCAGCTCAATGAGAAATAAACAGGTGCCAAGCTTGACGAGAGAGTATTTGTACAAAATGAACCGAATCACCCCAACCCCCCACCACCCCCCCGCCCGTTGCTCTCACGACCATATTTCTAGTCGGTACTTGTAAACTCTTTGTTTGTCATTCGACAGCACACATTTAAAACCAGTGTCAGATCTTAATGCATGAACGGGAACAACGATGAATTCGTACGTCTGTTTGTGTGAGCACAGGTTCAGAGAGGCTAAAGTACTTAATGTGATGAATGATTCTGTCTTCACTGTTTGTGTGTGTCCTGTCCTCCATTTACAATTTCACCCTCTCTCCATCCAATTCATGATTAAAAGCACGTTTATGCATCGCCACGAGACGAGTCGTATTATTACACATCTTGAAATAACAGGCACATCTCCACTTCGGCGTGCAAACACAAACGCCGTGGCGTGTTTGAATTATTCAGCGGCACAGAGCGAGATTTGATTAGAAGAGCTGATGAGGTGTAGTGTAACAGCAGTCTGGTTGCGCTGGTGTGATAGCTTTTCTGAAATAAAGTGGAAGTGATTTGAACCTTCATTATCTATGTCCTTACTAGCTCAAAGTTCCCCAGGCTCATGCGTGAATTGCAATATCAGAAGTCAAGCGGCTGTGACAGTCTCTCTCTCTCTCTCTCTCTCTCTCTCTCTCTCTCTCTCTCTCTCTCTCTCTCTCTCTCTCTCTCTCTCTCTCTCTCTCTCTCTCTCGTCTGAATAGATTAAAAGTTAAACACAAAAAATTAGGGATGCTCTGATACCACTTTTTACAGAAAGAGGCTGATACCGATACTATAATTTTTAATACTTGCCGATAACGATACCTGTATTTTCATTGCATATGTAATTTTTAAATAAATTAGGTAGAGAAACTAAAAAAATATGAATCATATTCATTGGTTTAATTTGTTTAGCAAATATATTTCCTTCAGTTATTTTCATGCATGATTATGCATTAAAATGTATTGTATGAATTTCTGTTACTTTCACTGTTCATTCTATTGAATTATCATATTTTATCTTTCATTTAATAGCACAGTGCATATTTAAAGCTGCTCCAGCTGGGCTCAGTGCTAAGGATTGGGTCAGCGGTTCAAATGTTTAGATACCAGTGAAATATTATACTATTATACTATTAAATAGTATGCTATTTTGATACTACAGCAAAAACTAGCCTAATTAATGTAAATTAAAAACATTATTAAAGATAAGTAAACAGTCAGAAATAAAATAAGAACAAACAATCCAATTTCAAACAGCACAAATAAATTCAATGTTTTTAGAGTTTTTTAGGTAGGTCTAACAGTAGTTTCAGGTACAGAATTTGAATAAAGTAATCAAATGTAAAATAACACTGCATAGACTTCCGTATTAATTAAATATAGATGATTTGTTATTAAAGTTGCAAAAAGCATTCAGTCGAGCAGTGAGTGATTTTTTCTTTGTCCTTTGATAAAAAACACAGCAGCAGGTTTATTTAGCGGCTGTCCCTTTAAGAGTGAATGCACGGATCCAATATACCGTTACAAGACCGTTGTCCTTTTTACATAATTTTGTGTGAATTTGTCAGTTCAAGCGCAAGAAGACGTGAAAGAGAATTCAATTCAGTATTCAAGTGCTTGGGATGTTTGCACACAGTAAACTTCTTGTCTTGTAATAATGTAGGGGACTACTCATTATACATAAATCACGTAACAGTTTTAAGTTTTTACTTCTACGATTTAGTTTTAATCCAAATGACGTGTGCTGAATGAACGATCAGCAATCAAGAGCATGCAAGTGCGCTCTCTCACTCTCTTTTCGCTCGGGGGTCTGCCGCTGCACGCTCAATCCACTCTGCGTGTTTCGCACACCAGATATATAGGCGTAAATATTTCATTTGTTCAACATTCTATTAATTCGATACCTTTACTTCATAGACATCCTTATCTGATATATCCATTCTGCTCTCTGTTTGCTCTGTTGTCTGTGTTTCTTTTTCACAAGCACTACTGTACATCGGAGCATTTTAATGAGTACAAGTATGAATACACGAGCGCAGTACCGGTCCGATACCTATACTGGTATTGTTATCAGTGCATCTCTACTAAAAATCCGTCATTTTGAATGCTACAAGTGAATTTAGCCAACATTATTAAAGTACAAGTGTCTTTAAAGATTAACGATACTGGTAAAAAAAAAAGGTGATAATATTCAAATATTGACGATAATCAATATGGTACCGATGTGCGATCATAATGACATTTATTTAATTTGCTTAATAAAAGAATGTTGAAATCAAATTTGATATCCTTTTATTTTTATTATGTGGTAATTACAATTTACAGTCAGTGTTGTTATTAACTAAAGCTTAAGGTATTCAAAATCCTGAATTGAAATAAAATGAAATGTAAATATTAGATGACAAAACCACATAACAAAATGAATAAAACTTCAATTAAAATGAATGAAAAATTTAAATATAAAAGTAACAATTAATTGAAAATATAGATACATACTATAATAGTATATAATTAAAGCTGCAAGCAGCATTTAGCGGTGTTCAAGCAGTTAGTCAAGTCAAGTCAAGTCACCTTTATTTATATAGCGCTTTTTACAATACAGATTGTATCAAAGCGCTTCACAGTGATAACATGAAAACAATATAACAAAAACAATATAACAATATAACAAAGTTTGTTTCTAAAAGAAATTGTGTCAACGTCCACCTTAAGTAAGGCAGATCAATAATATTATTGAATATTAAATGTTAAATGTCCCCAACTAAGCAAGCCAAAATCCAAGGCAACAGTGGCAAGGAACCAAAACTCCATCAGGTGACAGAATGGAGAAAAAAACCTTGGGAGAAACCAGACTCAGTCGGGGGGCCAGTTCTCCTCTGGCCAACGGAAGAACAGTGCATGATTCGGGCAGCATTACAAGTCAGATTGGATCGGAACATTTAGAGTATTTTTTGGAAGTCCAAGTATGCACGCCGGTCTTAAGACGAGTTGTTGAGGATCAGTGCCGTCCACCATAGAGAGTCCATATCGCCCGTGTTGAGTCGTCACTTCATAGGCTTTGTGATTGGAGCATCTGAAGTCTCCGTGAGAGGCTGGATACAAACTGGAGCTGACGAACGCCATTTTCTCGGGACTCGCGTCCCGA